CCCCTCCCTTCCCTAATTAAAAACTGCTTGAATCTGCCCATTGGAACTCAGGGAAGGTCATGGAGGCTGAATGAAGGCTATTTCCTGTAATCAAAGGAATGGGGGACACAGAGAGGCTTTGTGTCCAGAAGCCCCACAGGGCCCTGCTTGGTATCACTATTAGTTGTTACTTTAGATAATTAAATTCTTTGGGCATCAGGCATCTCATCTATAAAATAGGTAGTACTCGATAAATGTTCATCATTTTTGGAAAAATTTTATTTATTTATTTATTTTTGGCTGCGTTGGGTCTTCATTGCTGCGCGTGGGGCTTTCTATAGTTGCAGTGAGCAGGGGCTACTCTTCGTTGTGGTGTGCGGGCTTCTCATTGCGGTGGCTTCTCTTGTTGCAGAGCACAGGCTCTAGGCAAGCGGGCTCTAGAGCACAGGCTCAGTAGTTGTGGCTCACGGACTTCGTTGTTCCGTGGCATGTGGGATCTTCTCGGACCAGGGCTCGAACCCGTGTCCCCTGCATTGGCAGGTGGATTCTTAACCACTGCGCCACCAGGGAAGCCCTCATCACTATTTTTAACCTCAAAACTTCTCCTCCTCCAGTGTTTCCTACATCACTGGTTAATGACATTACTCACATGGCACCAAGATATGAAACCAAGAAATCAGACTGAACTTGCTCCTTCATCTCACCCTAAATGCAATCAATCCAAAAGCCTGTGGAAATATTCTTTCTCTCCTTCTTCCCTTTCTGCTGCCAATGTCATTTTACAGTTCTGAGACTTCTCTAATCTGGACTATTGCAGTAGCCTCCCAGTTGGTCTCTTTGCCTATTGTCTCCTAGTCATTACATCGATCACACAGCTGCTAGAATCATCTTCCTAAAATGTGGTTCAAGTAGCTTAACTCCACATGTCAAAAATCTGCAATACACTCCAAAATTAATGAAGCACGTCTCCTAGGCCAGTTAGTGTGCCAGGTTCTGGTACTACAAATATAAATAAAACAGATAAAACCCTTCCCAGACTACTGGTGAACAAGGGAGGATAAAGGTCCTGTAGAAGGATAAAGTTCCCCTGCCCCCATTTCCAAAATCTTTACTGTTCTCTGAGGAAACAAATTCTACGATCACTTAATCAGACAAGTGTTCAACAGATTTCTTCTCTTGTCATAATGTTGCGGTCCGGGAGCCACACGCCTGGAGTCAAGTTCCCCGGTAAATGCGACCCGTGTCCCAACCAAGGACACCCGAGAATCACCAACACCAAGCAGAAAGATTAGCAAAGGATTTATACAAGTACAAGTATAGAAGCTTACACAAACTGTCCGGACAGGGTCCCACTCGGAGAGAAGTGAGTGAGACCCCGACTAACAGCTGGGCGAGGCTTTCATACCCTTCACAGGGCGGGAAGTCCCCAAGGCGGGAGGGAGCTGTTTAATTTTGAATCAGCCAATCAGAAACCCGGTTCTTCCCGCCCCAAGCAAGCAAGCAAGTTTCTTACAGAAGCCAAAATGTGCTGTTAGCCCTGAAGCTGTTCTTCCGTTTCTTTCGTCACAATAATTGTTCTGCTATTTTGTTTTTTTATATTCCCACGAGGATTGGATGTTAATATTTCCCTGGGCCAGGATAACTCTTTTGGTTCTTAAATGAGACAAATAAGCTCAAGTGCCCAGCCCAGGGCCTGGCACATGGTAGATACAATAAATGGTAATTTTCTTCTGGCTGATGTAGGACTGTGTGTTGTTGGTTTAACCTGCTCACAGCAATAACCATCCACTATTAAGCTCTGAATGTCTGTCTCCCCTGAGTCCTCAAGAAGAAGATGAGTAATGGCCAAATAATTGTTCAGTCTCAGGCAGAGAATGAAAAAAAAAAAAAATCACTACTGTTGCATGGTAGGATGATAAATGCCAAAAAATTTTGAGATGCTCAGCCAGCATGACACAGTACTTCCCTATTTCTTATTCTGCTATAATGTCTAAGGGAGTTAGGAGGATAGTGGGGGTTGGGGGCAGAAAGGGGGACACAATACTATTTATTAAACACTCCTTTTTATATCAGGTGCTACATTGTGACGTGGGGACACAGATGGTTGTGACCCAAACCCTACCCTTCAGAAAGTCAGTCTACCAAGGAGAGATAGGCATATAAACAAGGAAAATAGCTTAAAAGTTTTCTTTTTGCTATACAGGCTATTGTTTGGGCAGAAAGGAGGGAATGGTCAATTCTGAGGATGAGTGAAAGAATTTCAGAGGAAGTAGTGCTTCAGCTGAGTCTTCAAACACGTTTTCTGTAGGTCAAATAGAGAACGGGTTCCTCATGCTTGAACAAAAGGCTGAAGGCTTAAAACAGCTACACTCTGCTCTGGGTGTTACAATATAGGAGCAAGGAAGAGTTACAGTAGTAACAATGGCTAATACTTCTAGTGTATAATGAGAACTAGGTACTGTGCTAAATAAACTACGGAGATGATTTCAACAAAGAATAGTATTCCCACTTTACAGACCAGAAAAGTAAGGTTAATGGATTAAGACTCTTTTATGAAGGCCACACATAAAATAACAATGAAGAGTTTTAACTCAGGAATACAGAGCCCCAGTTTTTATGAACCACAAATCAGAGGGGTGAGTGAGTGAGTGACAAGATCAGATTTCAGAAAGATTCCCTCCAGCCACCCTGGAATGGATGGGATGGGAACTCATGGATAGCAGATAGAAAGTAGCAACCCTGTTAATCAGACAGAACAATAAAAGGGAGGCTCTCTAAGCAATGAGGGTTACTGAGGATCAGCACTAGAGCAGAGGCTGCGGGAATCGGTGTAGGGGGATCATATTTGAAGAGATAGTTCTCCGGGCTTGGTTAGACGTGGTCTTCCATGGGCAGCAGCTAGAACCCTTACTCTGGTTCAGGCCTTAAGGGCAAGGCGGAGGCGAGCGGGTTTGGAAGTGATCAAAAGAACGCCTCAAACCTCGGCGGCGCCGGGGGATTGGTAATCCACTAGGTCGCCCCCAGCGAGAGAAAGCGCTGAGTCATGCTGGCGGGGCGCGTTGGGTCGGGGCGGTGCTCGGGCCAGATCCCCCCCACCTTCCCTCTCCCCGGCCCGCACCCCTGGCCCGCCCTGACTCTCGCGAGAGCTTTACAGGATATAAAGGCCAGCGCCCGGCGCACGCTTTGCGTGTGTGCTTCCTGACTGTCTTTTGTGGCTTGTGAGGAGTGGTGAGTATATGGGCAGCGCGGCCTCTGCGGACTGTAGCGCCCCCCGCCCCTCGCTCGTCGCCGTTTCCTTCTCCTCCTCCTCCCCGGGGCCTGCCCAGCTCAACTGGGCTTCTCTGACGGAGAAGGTGGCCGGGCGAGGTGGCCCTCACGTTGGACCCCCTTGTGGGTGCGGGGACGTGGTTGAAACCCGAGGCTAACGGCGGCTTGAGTATCCTCTTCCCCCGGCAACCAAAGCAGAGGGCGCTGATTGGCTTGGCGTGGCTTGGTGGTGATGGGGTCTCCTGCGGGTGTGTGTGTGGGGGAAGCTTCTAGAGTGGATCTGCAGACTGATTAGAAACTGAGGGTACTCGTCCGTCCGTCGTGTATTAGGGGAAAAGGCTGTTCTCGGTCCTGAGCTGTGACTAGCAGTGGAGCTTCAGATTCTAAGATTCCGTTCTCCGTCTTTAGTTCTCTATCTGCAGAATGGGTTTGTGGTGGTCCTAAATGCCCTCTGTGAAGATTGCGCACTCTTCTGCTGGTGCTTTCTTAAGTGCTAGGGTGGGGGTGATGATGGGAGTGGCAGAGAGGGTACCTGAAGTGAGTTTTTGGGGAGTGGCTTCCTCCACGGAAGTTCAAGGGGAGATTTCCTGAAGGGAACACACCGACTGGAAGTTCAGCAGCTTCCCATCCCCCACCACTGGTTGTGCTTTAGTGGTCGTGGGGGCCCCCTGGAAAATCAGGTTTGGACAAGAAAGCCATTTATGTTAGGGTCACATCCTGTGTTTGGTTGCCAAGTTGCGTTGTGCCTTGCTGGTTGGTTTTTTGGTTTGCTATTAAAGGTGTTAAGCGGTAAAAAGTTTGTGGCAATCGATGCTTACAACTTTTTTTTGGTTGTGGTATTATGAAGCGAGAACTTTGGGACTTGAAAAGTTAGTTTCTTGGCGCTTTTAAACTGATGGCTTACTGGGTTAAATCTTAACTTCTTATCTTGGTCTTGACCTGGGTGAATCCAGTGTAACGTTACTCTTTGGCAATAAATTGACTCTTGTTCTACTTATTACTGCCCCAGGATCTTGGCCCCGAGGTAAGAAACCCACTTTTGAAAGGACTTCTGGGCCTTAAACACAACACCTAGAATTTTGAAATAGAGCCGATGCCATAAATCTTGGTCTTGCGTCTTGAAAAAGTTGGATTGGCTGTAGGGTGTGTGCTGTCTTGGGCAAATCTACCTGGAGAAAGGTCAAAGTGTGATTACCACATTCTGAAGGCAGATGGAGGTGCAGTCCAGGGAAAGGGCAGCATGGCAGCTTCTGGGAGGCAGGTGCTCAGTGTTTATGGCATTGTGCATTTGGGTCCAGGTTTGAGAGTTTCCACCTCTTTCTATCTCTGCATGTGTGTAATGAAAGTACAGAAGAAAATGTAATTTGTACGAATGATGGTTCAGGAACAGTAAGTTTACTCCAATTGATAAATTTCCATTTTAAAATGAAAACATAACATTGTAAATCAACTGTACTCCAATAAAAGGTAAAAAAATAAAAACAGAAATAAACTTCAGGGGCTTCCCTGGTGGCGCAGTGGTTGAGAGTCAGCCTGCTGATGCGGGGGACGCGGGTTTGTGCCCCGGTCCGGGAGGATCCCACATGCCGCGGAGCGGCTGGGCCCGTGAGCCATGGCCGCTGAGCCTGCGCGTCCGGAGCCTGTGCTCCACAACGGGAGAGGCCACAACAGTGAGAGGCCCGGCGTACCGCAAAAAGAAAAAAGAAAAAAAAAAAAAAGCTTGTTTCTAATTGACTTCCTCTTATCTTTTCCAGCTGATCGCAATATGTCTTCAGGAAATGCCAAAATTGGGCACCATGCCCCCCAGTTCAAAGCAACTGCTGTAATGCCAGATGGTCAGTTCAAAGATATCAGCCTATCTGACTACAAAGGTAAGAGTAGTTAGGTTCATTAATGTGGAATTATGTTACAATCTAGGGATGGCTTGTTCATTTTCTGTATCTCTTGTCATATTTGATTGTAAAATGATCTTTATATCTCCTGTGTCTTTTGGGTGAGAGGCTTTGTCTTCCTATTGAATTGAAGTGGTGATTATCATCAGTGAACAGAGGGTCGATATCCTAAGTCCAAACTGCTTCTGGAGAAAGCACATTCTTCATTATGTCTGGACATATATCTTTATTATTTTCCCAGTATTGCTCCTCAATTATATTATTGGAGATATTCTCATTATCATGTTATAAAAGGCCTTCAACAATTTAAAGTCTCAGAGCTAAAGTCTTTGGAGCTGTGAGACTATATTCACTTCAGTTTAAGAAATGTGTGTGTCATGATTGCTGTATTAGGCAGAGGGCTTAGGCACATTCCCTTGACTGTTTTGCCCCCAGAGAAAAATTGGTGTCACAATTAGAATAACTCTCCTTTCTGTTAAATAGTTTCAAGTAGACACCTAGCAAGTTCTAATGAGGTTCTCTTTATTTTGCAGTCACGGAGCAGCAGGGTCTTCTGGGACAATTGAAAATAGAAATTCCTTAGAATCCAAACCTGAAACTCAGGTGTCAAGTATACCTTTCTTGGTGGTGTAGCAGTCGGTTCCTAGAGTCAGCTTTTGGGTAGAACCTGTGACTAGGTTTCTTAACAAATTACACATATTGGTTGGAATGAGAGCAGATAAGTGGGGCCCTATGGAGAGAAGCTCCTGGCAAACAAGGTAAGTAGCACCATTAGGGAGGTTACCCTGGCCCAAGGGCAAAGGCATGAGGTTTAGGAAGAGCTATTGTGTGCCCTCCAGGGCTTGACCGGCTGTAGCTTGTTAGGCAACACCCCTGAGGAAGGTTGTTTAGGTGAGTGTGTTTATAGTGATTTTCGCTTTCAAAGTGAATGTCAAAAGGATCTGCTTGTTTTTGACTTTCAAACATTGTTTGAAAACAATGGAAATAAGTGGATATTTGGAATTGTTCCAAATAGCTCAGCCCATTAGGTATGGTGAGAAGCTGCCCTCAGGTTGAAGATCTAGAATACTTCAATTGGTAATCAGAATGAGTTTCATAAAATTGCAACTAGAAATTGTTACCTACCAGGAGAATTTTTGGAACTTTTGCCTTATAAATTTTTTCTTTGCTTTTCCTGTCAGGCTTGTTTGAAACATGTCTGTGGTTATTCAGGTGATCACTTAAAGCTATCAGAGACTTCCCTGGTGGTCCAGTGGTTAAGAGTCCCCCTTCCAGTGCAGGGGACGTGGGTTCAATCCGCAGTCGGGGAACTAAGATCCCACATGCCGCGGGCATGCTGCGGGGCAACTTAAGCCCGTGTGCCACAACTACAGAGCCTGCACACTACAACTAGAGGGGAGCTCGTGCACACTGCAAGGAAGATCCCTCGTGCCGCAAGGAAGACCCGATGCAGCCTAAATAAATAAATAAATAAACAAATAAATCTTACCCATCACATTACTGTGGTTCCTTGTGGAAGAATTGCAGAGGTTCTGACTTTCTCTTGTTGGTCTTACTGCCTTGCAGCAGAGAATGCAGCAATTCAGTTCTTTCTGGGCACTGATTATATAAGCATTGGCATTAGATTGTCCAGTAGATAATTGCATCTTTGCTTTTTTTCATCACTGGAGAACTTGGTGTTTGTGCTAATTTTAACTATCCAGAGATCAAAATTAGATGGAATTAGATGTTTATCTGTAGTTGGCAGCTAACATGGAGGCAGGAAAATAAAGCATGGAAACTGGAAGAACTTTTTCTTGTGGAAGAGGTTCTGACAGTAGCTGCAAGGAGTCTTCTCTGTTGAGCATCTTGGCATGTTAACAAATGTGTCTGCCATCAACTTGAAAAGGCTTCTTTTTCCATGGGAGAATGTCTTCAGGTTTACATTCTCTATAAGGCAAGGAAGTCTGTTTCTTTTCTTTTTTTTAATACATTTATTTACTTATTTATGGCTGTGTTGGGTTTTCGTTGCTGCACGCGGGCTTTCTCTAGTTGTAGAGAGTGGGGGCTTCTCTTGTTGCCGAGCACGGGCTCTAGGCGTGCGGGCTTGAGTAGTTGTGGCACGTGGGCTTAGTTGCTTTGCGGCATGTGGGATCTTCCCAGACCAGGGCTCAAACCCGTGTCCCCTGCATTGGCAGGTGGATTTTTAACCACTGCGCCACCAGGGAAGTCCCAGGAAGTCTATTTCAAAGGCTAACTTGGGCTTTTTTTTTTCCCCCAGGAAAATATGTTGTGTTCTTCTTTTACCCTCTTGACTTCACTTTTGTGTGCCCCACGGAGATCATTGCTTTCAGTGATAAGGCAGAAGAATTTAAGAAACTCAACTGCCAAGTGATTGGTGCTTCTGTGGATTCTCACTTTTGTCACCTGGCATGGTAAACCTCTTGGTCCATTTGGCATGGAGATTTTTTTTTTTTTTTTTTAATTATTACTATTTTTTTTTTTTTTTTTTTTGGCCGCACTGTGTGGCATGTGGGGGATCTTAATTCCCCGACTAGGCATGGAACCTGTGCCCCCTGCAGTGGAAGTGCAGAGTCTTAACCACTGTACCACCAGGGAAGTCCAGGCATATGGACTTTTAAATTAAGCAGCAACTGGGACTGGGAGGCTTTGGCAATAGACTTTCTCAAGTATTGATTTCTGGCTCATAGAAGGAGAACAAATGCTCTGACTTGTTGTTCTTACTGCCTGGCAGCAGAGGAAAAGCAGCTTGGATTACAGCTGAGTGTACCCTGGTGACCTTAACTGTCCTCAGCCGGTTATTTTACTGCTGGAAAAAGTTTGAAGTTTTCTGGGGAGTTAGATTAGGAATGTTGGACAGGAGAAGGCATAGTTGTAGTTAATGCTTTTGTTACACAAGAGTTTGAATGAATGTGATTGTATGTGTGCTTTTTGCTGTAGGATCAACACACCCAAGAAGCAAGGAGGACTGGGACCCATGAACATTCCCTTGATATCAGACCCCAAGCACACCATTGCTCAGGACTACGGGGTCTTAAAGGCTGATGAAGGCATCTCATTCAGGTATATACCTGCTGGGGGGCTGACAGTCATCAGGAGAACTATCTGATTGGCTGAGGACCTTTTATTTGAAAGGTAGAGCCCTGATCTGTGGAGTCTTTTTTCTCATTTCATTTTTTTTCCTGTTGTATTGAGAAATAATTGATAGACATCACTGTGTAAGTTTAAGGTGTATGGCATGATGGTTTCATTTCATTCTTTTGTGCTGGGCCTAAGGGGAAGGCCAGTGCAAGTGTGGGAGACCAGCCTATTTCCATTTCTTCTCTGTTCTAAGAAAGCAATTTCTAAAACTGTATTGTCTCTCTCAAACCTTTAATACTTTTTTCCAGGGGCCTTTTTATTATTGATGATAAAGGTATCCTTCGACAGATCACCATAAATGACCTTCCTGTTGGCCGTTCTGTGGATGAGACACTGAGACTAGTTCAGGCCTTCCAGTTTACTGACAAACATGGGGAAGGTAAGTCAGTCTGCCTGGTGACAGGACAGCGGAGTGGGAAAGATGGGAGGAACAAAGTCTACCAGATAAAAGGGTGATTATGTCTCTTCAAGAAGTTGCCATCTCTGGATTATAGTGGGTTGTGGGGGTGGGGCAATGGAAAAGCCTGGGGAGGAGAATATAAAGGCTTCTTGTTCCAACCGCGTATTCCCAGCTTCTGCCCTGATCATTTAGTATCGCTCAGTGCTGCAGATTCAACTTTTTAAAAGAGTATAGGAGGATCCCATAGGTGTGTTAAGGGCAAAACAAAAGGCTGGGAATCACACCTAGACATGAACCATGCTGCTCTTGACAAGTGTTTACTGGGGGGAGAGCTTAATCCCTGTAGACCATATTTGTTTCACTGGGGTAATGTCCAACCAGTTTTGGAAAATGAAATGAAAATAGGACTGAGATAACTTATCCAAAGACAGTAGGTAGAAACAGTTAATACATTTTTATCTTTTAAAAATCCATTCTGTTGGTGCAGTGTGGTTGTATTTGTAAGACTTATAATCAACAAATACCAAACTATATATGCTCAATATAAAAATTTTTCTAAGGAAGGAGGGGTTAGGGCTGAAGGGTTTGAGATGAAATACCAAGGTTCTTCGTTAGAAGTTTCAGGATGAAAGACGATGTTTTTGTGAGTCTGAACATGACCGAGTAGATTCAATTTACGGTTTTTATCTAGCATTTGCTAGAGTGCAGGTCTTTCTTACTGCTCTAGCCCTTCTCTCCTTATATATTCTCTCATTGCAGTGTTTTGATAAAGTCCTGAACTACTTGCTCCCAGCCTTTGAGTTTATAAGGCTGTAGCTTTTGACAGCTCCCCACCTCTGCCCAGTGTAGTTGTTGGTTGGAATGAGATAGCCTTATCCCAACTGGGTTGAGTTTTAAGAACTCAGCTCCTCCATCTGCTGCAGGTGCTGGGTATGTAGGGGGAAGGGATCTTGAACCCCACCCCAGCTTAATATGATTGAGGGTAAGATGGTTGTGATCAAGTGCTACTGATATCAAGTGCGCAGGTGGACTTGGACAAATTTATTTCATTTTCTTTCTCTAGAAAATAAGTAGTTCCGACTAGCTCTCTAAGGCTCATTTCAGCTCTGATCTTGTGAGTTAAAGGAGGTGGAAGTTAAGAGTCTGGATTAGTGGTGTTTGGGGGACCCAAAAGTGCTAGCTTGACTAGAGTGGAAGGCTAATAAGTAATGGGAATGAGAAGGCACCATTTGCAGAAGCATGTGTGAGCTTTACTCTGGATTAAAGGAGCAAACAGCTGCTGAGACTGCCCCCTGGTGGAGAATGAAGTTCAGTACAAAGACGGAAGGCGCTGTGGAGTGGCCAAGTCGGCCCTTTACTGGACTTTGCTAGGACCTTGCATAGACTCTTGAACCCAAGCTTTCATGACTCTGTGAAGCTTGCTTCTTCACACTCTATTGTTCTCTGCTGCGTCCCATCCCATTAGAACAGGCACAGCTTTCTGTGCGCAGCCTTTTATGGCTTATAGTATGATAGCTCCCACTTGAGAGCATGTAAATACCAACCAGGCAGTCTATATGATGTGCTGTCATGTGTTGTTTATTTGACAAATAACCCTGCATTCCTATTTTTAAAATTGAGATATAATTGACATATAACATTATATTATTTTCAGGTGTACAACATAATGACCTTATGTTTGTATATCCTATTTTTACCTAAAAATCTTTTTTGATCTTGAATTTTACACTTTTTTGCGGGGGAGGGGTCTTTAAGTGAACTACATTACATTTTAGCAGAGAGAAGGGTGGAACTGACAAATACCATAGAGAAATTTTTTACTGAAAAAATCCTATGTTCCTATTTTTAAGGATAAGTAAACCAATATTTAAACACAGCATATGTTCATAGTTAATGGTGGAACTGGGATCCAAATTCAAAGCCCTCCTTTTCTTAGGTAATTTCAAATGCTGAAAAAGTCATTGTTTAGGGCCTTCTGTGTTGGCGAGAGTTGTGGTACTTCAGCTGCACTTGAAAGCTGATAAATGTGGGACTCAGCCAGTTCTTCTGGGCTCCATATTGATTCTGAAAAACCAGCACTGTTGGGTATGAGTGAAACATCCAAGTGTGGATCTTTCTGTCCTGTCATTAATTATTGGTACAGTGTTAAGTGCCAAGAGGCTTTAGTGCCAAGGAGACTAAATTGTCAAGGTCCTTCTTTCTGGTTCATTATTCCTCCTATCTTTGTATCATTTGTATTCCTGGACAGAAGAATCTTTGGTTTCCCTGCTGGCAAACTATGGGATGGCTTTGGGTCTGGTCTCTGTTTTTATGTTGCTTTTTATTCTTGGAAGCTTGTTTATGCTTAGGACCTGTGTTCTAATCCTTTGGTGCCACTAAAGCTAATGACTGTAACAATCAAATGGAGATTTTGTAAAGCAGCTGGGTTTGCCATTTAGTGCTTGTTTCATCCATACCTTGTTTCCAGACTGCTGTTTGCAGTGTCTGACATCTGAGGCTGTGACATCCTTGGACTGAAAGGGGCTTCCCCTCTCTCACCTGAGCAAGTGAGATTTTTGCTGCTCCATTATTGGACTTTGCTGACTACATGCTTCCTAGAAGACTAAACAGCAAATAGAGTGGAAAATCAGAGATTGGTTCCCTTGCCTCACTTTCCTCAGGTTTGCCCAAGGAGCATTGCTAACTTAGGATCGTTGGAAAGGTTGAAAGGTTCTTTTCTGCATAAAGTGTGCGAAAGATTCAAACTTGGACATTTGCTTACCAAGGTATAGCAGGCAGTTACTTAGTGAAACAAGCAGAACCTTCTGTGGAGGTCCTGTTCCTTATTTCAGGCATTCTTGTTTGGCAGAGTTAAGGAACACTGAGAAGGAAAACTGCTTGCTGCTTTCAGATCTCTGAAGGGCTGCTAGAGGGAAGCAGCAGCTTAGTGTTAGGGTTTACACAGTCCTAGCTTTGTCATTTTTAGCTTATATTTTTCTTGGGTATGGGGGCAAGTCACTTAAGGTTTTTTTAAATCAATTTTTATTGTGGTTATATATAATTTACCTTTTTTTCTTTTTTTTGGGTTACGCGGGCCTCTCACTGTTGTGGCCTCTCCCGTTGCGGAACACAGGCTCCGGACGCGCAGGCTCAGCGGCCATGGCTCATGGGCCTAGCCGCTCCGTGGCATGTGGGATCTTCCCGGCCCGGGGCACGAACTCGTGTCCCCTGCATCGGCAGGCGGACTCTCAGCCACTGCGCCACCAGGGAAGCCCCTAATTTACCTTTTTAAGTGCATAATTCAGTGGCATTAATTACATTCACAGTGTTGTACATCTGTCACCACTGTTTCTCCTTTTCATCATCCCAAACAGGCAGTAGTAACCATGAAGCAATAACTTAGCATTCCCCTTTCCCTCCAGCCTGTGGTAACTTCTACTTTCTGTGTCTATGAATTTGCCTATTCTAGGTGTTTCATGTGAGTGAAATCATATAGTATTTATCCATTTGTGTTTGGTTTCTTTCACCTAGCATAATGTTTTCAAGGTTTATCCAGGCTGTAGTATGTATCAGAACATTATTATTTTTAAAGGCTGAATAATATTCCGATACACACACACAAACACACACAATTTTATGTCTATCCATCCGTTAACAGGTTGTTTCCACCTTTTGGCTATTGTGAATAATATTGCTAAAATATTGGTGAACTGGTGTCTGAATCCGTTTCCAGTTACTTTGGGGCTATATATAGGAGGAGAATTGCTGGGTCACATGGTAATTCTATGTTTAGATTCTTGAGGAACTGCCAAACTGTTTTCCACAGCACATGCACCATTTTACATTCCCACCAGCAATACCAAGGGCTCTTTACATCCTTCCCAACATTTACTTTCCTTTTTTTAAACTATAGCCATCCTAGGGGATGTGAAGTAGTATCTCATTGTAGTTTTGACTAGTGATGGCATATTTTCATATGTTTATTTGACCATTTGTATATCTTTGGAGATATGTCTTTTTTCAAGTCCTTTGCCCATTTTTGAATTGGGTTGTCTGTTGAGCTGTGGGAGTTCTGGATTTCACTTTTGGCTATTAATCCCTTATCAGATATGATTTATAAATATTTTTTCCCATTCTGTCGGTTGTCTTCACTCACTTCATAATGTCCTTTAATCTACAAAAGTCCTTAATGTCAATCAAGTCCAATTTACCTTATGTTTTTTACTGTTGTTTGTGTTTTCAGTATCATATCTAAGAATACATTTCCAAATCTAAGGCCATGAAGTTTGACCACCCTGTGTTTTCTTCAAAGAGTTTGTGGTTTTAGCTCATATATAGGCTGTTGATCCATTTGCGAGTAAATTTTTTGTGAATAGATGTCCAATTTCATTGTTTTACATGTGGAAATCCAGCTGTTCCAGCACCATCTGTTGAAGAGCATTTAAGCTTATTTTTCAAAGGTGCATTTTTGAAGCATACATAAAATTACTGAGAACATATGAATACCCATTTACCTACTACCTACTGTTAACAAAATCGTAATATTTTGCTATACATACTTTAGACAGATTTTTAGAACAAAGTATAAAGTTGAAGCTGTTACTTTCTTTAAATTTCAGTTACTCTGTGAACAAATTAGGTATCATAGTAATTAGGGCTCTGGTGAGGATTAAATTACATATTTATAGCTTTGAACTAAAAGGCTGAATGATCTCAGACTGCAGGGTAGGCTTCCTGGTTCCTGAATGTTGCTTTTTAGGGCTCACGTTTGGTTTTGAGGCATCCACTTGTCCTTGGGAGGGTGGAGCTCACCACTGATAAGGTTATTAATTAGTATCCTTTCTTTTGCAGTGTGCCCAGCTGGCTGGAAGCCTGGCAGTGATACCATCAAGCCTGATGTCCAGAGCAAAGATTGAGGCATCCACTTGTCCTTGGGAGGGTGGAGCTCACCACTGATAAGGTTATTAATTAGTATCCTTTCTTTTGCAGTGTGCCCAGCTGGCTGGAAGCCTGGCAGTGATACCATCAAGCCTGATGTCCAGAAGAGCAAAGAATATTTCTCTAAGCAGAAGTGAGCACTGGGCCATTTTAGGGCCAGGCTGCAGTAGGTGGCCATGAGAACAAAACCTGTTTTGTACTATTGTCATGCTTAAAACACAAGACCTTGCGCTCAGCCCAGATGTGTGGGACAGGACAGGCCTTTCCTGCAGGGGTTGGGGAGGCCAGCCTTTCTTCCTCTGGAGGGAATGGCCTGGGCTGTATTATGGGGCAGGCAAACTGATGTGTATAGTAGTAGGGTATCACTTTCGGTCTTTTGTAGTTTTATTAAACTTGAGCTGAGACCTTGTTGATTCTTCATTTTAGGGGGACATTAGCCTTTGAGTGTAAGAGGAATTTACTTTTTGCTTTCCCTCTTTAGGGGAAAATGAGGTGTGAGAGTGCCTCAGAATCAGGAAATTATATTGAGGGGAAATGCAAGTACATACAGAGAATAGACCTCGAAGCAAGGTGTTTTATTTCACCATATCTGGAGAAGAGCAAGGCCTACTACAGTACTGGCCAAGGCACTGCAAGTTTTGCTATAGGCTGGGTTGCAGGTTAAGAGCCCAGTGAGATTACTGACATTTACTTTTACACTACTGGGAGGGCGGGCTGTATGAAAACCTGAAGCTTGGCCTCTTCTGATAAATGCCTGGTACTGGTTCTGTAAAAAGATCAGTTAGAGGCTTCAGTACCTTTGGAACTAAAAGGGGGAGGGGGAGACAAACACAGCGCTGGTGTTCATAGGGTAGGTTTCTGTGTCAAAAAGCACAGTGCTGAGCACCTCTTGGCTTCCCTGGGTTTCTATCCTTGATTTAAGGGTAGTTCTTATCCTCATATCATTGTCCTGAGGGAGGGTTGTCAGTGGGGCAAAGGTGGATTCCTCCTGGGCTCTTGAGGCTAGGGCAGATTCAGGACTGAGAATCTATATCATGTGGTGCCCTTCTAGACACCTTCCAGACACGGCTACCCCAGCCTACCTAACCCTCCAGTATTCAGACAAGCAAGAACTATGAGCGGCAGTATAGGATTCCTGGGGCCTTTAATAATAGCTTATTATATGCCAGGTACTATTTCGTATTTATTCAGTCTCCATAAGAACCCTCTGAGGCAGGTACCGTTATTTAGGGGATAGTTGCTTCTTAAGCCCTGTAACAAGCAGCATCTTGAAGCACTGCAGAGAAATGGTAACAGGTAATCCATATTCCAAGGCAGGTGGCAAGTCTGGATCTGCTTTGGTCTTTTGACCAAACTTCTTTAAGCCCTGTTATCTTCATTTAAGATCTCTATTATAATTCTTTATCAAAAATGATCATCTTGTACCCAATAAAATCTTGTCTAGCCAAATAAATCCCAGCAGGTGCAACTGTCATAAATGAGGATCCCACAGGGGAGGGGAGGGTATCAAGGGCCAGGGGATGCAGGTGGTGAGACCCTGGGGCTGAGCCAGCCTCTGCTGGGATTCTGAGGCTTCCTGGGGATGAATGTGGTGAAATGAAGCTCTTGGGATGTAGAGCTAGGCTCCTCTGAGGTCTGGGCCAAGCCCAATAAGGCCAAGCGTTGGGCAGGCGGAGTGGAAAAGTAGGCCTTCTGCTCTTCTGAGTAGCGCTCCTGAGGTGGCACAGCATCCCGGTAAGTCCAGTCACGCCAATGGAAGTTGAAGCGTTCAAGCAGGGTGATCCGGTCAGCTCTTGCAGGTACACAGTCGAGGGGCTTTGTGGGTGGCAGATCTGGCACCTCTATTCCTCGCAGCAGCACCGCCCCTCGGATGGCAAACCATCCCCCAAATCTGGGATGTATGCACACACCTGATATGTGCTGGGGAGCAGGTAAAAAAGAAAACAGTCATGGAGGTTGTCTTGGCACCAAATCCAGCTACCAGCAATGCAAGCTAGGTTTGTTCACTTACTCATTCTCATTTCTCATTCTGAGTCTACATGTGAGCCTCTGTCAGTCCTTGACTGGACTCCTCTATTCCCTCCTGGACAACTATTTTCATGAAGTCACTGACCACAAGGAAAGGTTCCTTGAGCTGAACTTCAGCTTCCCAGTCTCACCACTCTAATCACAGCTCTGCCCCCTCCATTCTAACACAAAGACTAAGAACAGACTAGTTCTCTGACTGTCCCTAGGAACCAGACCCCTGACCATGGTGCACCCTTGTCCTGGATTGTACCCATCAGTTCCTTTACCCAGGGGAGGTGGAAGAATGACACCTGAAATCTTTTTTTTCTTTTGGCTGTGCCTCGCGGTTTACGGGATTCTCAGTTCCCCAACCAGGTAATGAACCTGGGCCATGGCAGTGAAACCCCGGAATCCTAAACACTAGGCCTCCAGGGAACTCCTGGGACTTGAAATCTTGAGGGATTTTCCTTTCCTTTTCTTTCTCAGCCCCTATTCATTCATATTTGCTCTCTGACCTGGGTTCCCCAGGGGTCAGACTCCACATCCTGTCGTTGGTAGTAATAAGCTGCTCCTGCCACATGGGCTGCTGTCTGGGCCAGAATCTTGGGGCGCCGGTTTGGGTGTACCTCGTAGTCAGTGATGATTTCTACTTGCATCCCTGGGAGGCTCTGTGATAGAGAACAAGATGGAAGCTTTTAGCACAAGAGGAATCATGACCATGTCCAACAGAGCCTTAAGTTGTGTTAACATGGCCCTGTCCTCAGAAGTCATGTTTAAAGGGGAAACATGATCTTAAACTTGGAGTGGGGCTGGGGGCTCCAGCGTGAAGAAAACAATGTGTCTAGGCGGGCCCATGTTTGAAGGGAAATGCAGTCTTGTTCAGAAACCTTTATGAGGGGTGACTTGGCTCTGCCTTCCGGAGGCCCAATGTGGAGGAAGACATGGCCCAGCTTTGGGGAGACCCAGTGTATGTGTACGTGTGTATATACATGTAAAGTGTGTAGTGGGGGAGTATTCTGTCCTCAAAAGACCCCAAAGACAGTGTAAAGCTTCTAGGTCTAGGGCAAAGAAAGGTGAGAGATGCGTGGAGCATGTTGGGCTTATTCCCATTTCACTTGGAGGCCAAGGGAAATCTGATCATATAGTTGTCCATCAGTGAAGGGTGAGTGAGACTGGTTTCAGACCTGGGGGGCTGCTAGAGGAGGTGGCCAAACCCGGGGTGAGAAGGCAGAATGGGGAGAGAGCACATTGTCAAGGCTGGCTTTAGGATACCCTTCTGCCCTGGAAGTGGCTCCTAGCCCTAGGCAGGTCTAGATCCTGCACTAAGCTTCGAGCAGCTGGAAGGAGATGAGGTTTTGAAGCTGGGGAAGGCTACAGCCAGCCTTGCTCACCTCTCTAACACGGCCCAGGTGGTAGGCCACACACTGGTCCACAGGGTCAGTCAGTGGTTGGAGGTGGCAGCTCTGCAGGAAGGGCTTGAGGGCCCGGTCAAACATGGCAGGTGTGCTGAGTACCAGGAAGGCCAGGGTAGGTCCTGGCAGGGGCAGGTGGAAGGCTGGAGGCAGGAGTGCATTGTACCATGCCACCTGGAACAGAGAAAATTCAGGCCACACAAGAGGGCCAACTTAGGCCTTAGCCAGGCCCATACCTTAGCTTTGCATTCAAGGCTTCATGCATCTTGCCCAGCCTCCATCTTACTCAATGAAATTCTACTGAAGTATGATGTGTGTTTATGGGGATGCATCTGAATCTGACGGGGAGTTACAATAGGCAAAGAATTCATAAAAAACTAAGGACAAAAAAAATGATTATATTGTGATTAGTGCAATAACAGGGCCAGTGAAGGCCCTCTGAAATTAGAAAAGGCTTGGAAGCTGAGTCTTGAAGGCTAGGAAGGAAACTTATAGGCTGATGTGGAGAGGGAAAATCTGGTATGTGTTTTAAATAGGTCCCAACATAAACAGGTAAAAAGTGCAAGGCATAGTTGGAGAATAGCAAATTGTCTAGTTTGACAGAAGTGAAGCATCTGTGGAGGGGAGCAGAGGGAGAGAAGGCTGGACAGATCAGTAGGAGTAAGACTGACTGGCCTTGAACACTACCAATTTGAGGAATATGGGTCTAATTTAGTGACAATGAGGGGCTAGCCATTGAAGATTTAAGGAGTACACTGACATGATCAGTTTTGGATCAGTCTGGCTGCAGTGTGGAGGATGGAATGGAGGCAAAGTGACAGCAAGGAGGTTACTGCAGAAATTCAAATGAGAAATAGGGGCCTGGACCAAGAGCATAGATGGGTTGAATGGAAGGAAATGGATCTGGGATAGGAGACAGATTGCTAAAGGTCTCAGTGGCTGATTGTATGTGGAGCTAGGGAGGTGAGAGAAGGAGGAGCTTAGGATGATTGGCAGGGCTGTATATGGCACTGTTCAATACCATAGCTCCCCCTATCCAGGCCTACCTGATTGCACCAGCTAGGCATCCCCACTCTCCCTCATACCTGCCATCCACCACTACTACCTCAACACCTTTATTCAAGCTCTTCCTGATATTTGGGATGTACATAACCTTCTAATCTATCTTTTCATACATAGTTCAACTCCATTTTTTCCAGGGAAGGCTCTCTGAGGCTAGATCCAACCTACTTCTTCCTCTATAGTCCTTTCCCAGCACTGCTGTGTGCCACTCAGTGGAAGGGGTGTAAATGGGCTGCCTCTTAAGCATCAGGCAAAAGGCTCAAGCTGAGTTGACTTAGCTTTGTTTCCAAGCACAGGGTTCAGTGCAGGGGGCACTGGATATAGGGAAATGGACCTATGTGAACAAGGGTAGGTGGTGATGCCAGACTTATGTGTCAGGCAAGTGTATAGTTTATATACCCAGCCCAGCACTTGTGACTGGCAACATCATGAATGTAACCTTTTAGTGGTAAAAGGAACAACCCAGCCAACTCTTTCCTTGTTCAACACCATGAATGCCCTTCGCTAATCAGATGGCCTAAATTCTAGCCATGCACATTCCAGGCCTTGCCCTCCTCCCAACTCCTACGGGAAGCTTCCAAAATGACTCTGGCCCCACAGTACCTTTCTTCCTGTAAATTACGTAGGTGACAAAGCCACAGGGTTACTGGATCATATGGTGTCTTCTATTCATCAATCCGGCATTGTATGAGGGTAAAAGGACAAACCTGCAACAGTTCTCTACCCGTTTAGCCCAAGCGCCCATTGAGACCCTGTCCCGATAGGTCAAACGAACACGGGGCCAGAAGAGCTCGGGAAAGTTCAGAGGACTCCAGGGCCTCACGCCGGTGGCACTGAAGCCAACCATACACTTCGCCCTAGCACCACAGTAGGGATAAACCAACCTGGAAGGGGTAAACCTCGAAGCCGAAAGGGCACAACGTGTCTTCAATCTTCTGCTTCAGCTCTGCGACTTGCGGCTCCATAGCGCACGCTACACGCTGAGCCTGCTGGGGAATGGAGTCTCAAGGTAACTCGGGACGTTAAGCTTTGAGGCAGCTTGGACTCCATTTCCCAAGAACTACTGGGATCGGCAGCGGGACTTCGTTGGCTCTGCGCGATGCATCCTGGGACACGTAGTTCATTCGGTCCCTAGAGACAGCCATTACAGAAGCCGAAAGACTCAGTTTCCCGGCAAGCTTCACGGTGGGGGTGTGACTGCGCGTGTTGCTTCTAGGGAACCGTAGTTCGACAGCCTGCATCGCCAGCTGTCTCCAGTAGAGGTGAACTCAGTTTCCCAAGTGGCACCGCGGAGGCCAGTGCGAAGTCGGGCTTTCCCGGCCTACCGTAAGGTTTGAACCGGGCGGCGGCAGTAGTCGCGGGCACAGGTTCGGTGTGATGGCGCAAGTGTCGTGCGTCTGGAGAGGTCTCGACCAAGATTTGGTACCTTTTAACTCCCACCTGATATCTGCGTATCAGGGCATCGCGCTTTTCCACCAGTTCCCCAAGGACGTTGCTCCCCTGACTAGTCCCAGAGGCGCAGTTTTGGTCTGATACTGCATCCTTACCGTTATTATTGCATCCCCCACTCACCTCTTTAGATCTGACGTTGTGGTCTTTCCTGGGCTGTGCCTTGGGTGTCCACAGTTGGGAGAGCAAGGGAACAAGATGCCAGGGAGCCAGAGCTCTGCCGCAGGCTATGAGTAGGAGCCTGAGATGGTCTGAGCAGCTCGATGCGCTTCTCAATGCTACTGACGGAAATGTGGCCAGGATTAAGGTGAGGGGGCGCCTGAGTCCCCCGCCCTCTGGTTTAGGGGATGTGGGTTAAGGAACTGCAAGACAGAACTCATTGGCCTGTGCATTTGTTTTTTTGTAGCAAAGGCTGTATCCCCTTGGAGTCTCCACCGCGGGTATTGTTCCTTTTTCTACCTATTCCTCAGCCTTTTCTCTTTCCAGAATCTGCCTTTTTCCAGTGCCTATGCCGTCCACTATTCCTTCCAAATTCCAGCTTTTTCTTTTCCTGAACGAACATTTCGCCTCTCGCCCCGCCCCCCCCAATAGGCTTTGCACTTGTCCCTTCCTTATTCCCTCAGCAGGAGACCTGACTGGGACCTGGATTTCCCCTCATTACTTGCCTCCCCAGTCAGGAGTCCAAGCTCAACAGCCTTGGGCTCTAGAGACTCCCATTGTCCCAGAGAGACTAAGTTGGGCTGAGGCCCATAGTGCATCTTCTCTCTGGGATGAAGTTACTATTTTTCGATCCCAGCTTCGATCCCAGGCTCAGGTGAGGCATGGAATCCTAGGTGAGTATGTTTGGGGTTTGCGTGAGATGAGGATACCAGGGGTTGGGGGAGCCCCTTGCACAATAGCTCATGTGGTTTTTCTGCCTGGGTAGGTGACTGAGGGACTAAGGCAGGCTGTGCAGGGCCTGCTGGAAGAGCGAGAGCAGCAGAAGTACCAGATCTCTGCCCTAGAAGGTATCTGATCAGTTCTTTTCTTCATATACACAGTTTCATATGTGTGAACACATTTTGTTGCACTCCTGTTGTGTGTGTGCTTGTGTCTTGATTTGCAAGTGGAGTCTCTAGGCTCACGTGTGAAGTTCTTAGAGGGACTGATCCCCAACTTGTCCCACTACAGCATCACTAAGGTTGCTGCAGGGGGGCCCAGAGCAAAGGGTCCTTCTCCTGGAGCAACGCCTGGAGGGGCTGAGAAGGGAACTGCAGGGCCTTCGAAGCCAGGTACAGGAACAGGCGCGAGCCCAAATACAAACAGGACCACAAAAGTGCAGTGCTACCAGTGGCCTTCACCAAGAGCTGCAGAATGAGTAAGTGATGGGCAAAACCTCGCCTTCTTCAGGCCTCTGAACTCCTGGTACTCTGGTAGCCTCCTCTGGGCTTGTTAATTGGCTTTAGAATGACACTGCTGTCATTCCTGCAGGCCGCAACTGCTGTGGGAGGAGTCAGAGATTCTTCGGGAGGAATTGAAGTTGCTGCAGGACCAGCTGAGTGAGTAAAAGATTGGGGGGGGGGTATGAAGTCACCTGTTCCCTTTTCTGGAAAGCCTTCTTGCTTTCCTAATAAATGACCATAGCTCTGACTGCTTGAGCTTCCTAGAAATCTGGCCAAATATTTTGTCTTACCTCTCATGGTGTGAGTCTAGTCTCCCTAGTCAGCTTGGAAACTTCTCAGCAGCTGGACCAGAATGCTTCTGTCCTAGTTTTCAGTGCCAGAGAAGGGGAAGGAAGGAATTTGGAGAACATCCCCCTTACATTTTCTCTCATCCACAGGCCAGCACCAGGAGCTGCTGCTGAAACAGATGACTGAGCGGCGGCAAGCTCAGGCCCACAGCTGGAAGGTAGGACCAGGATTGGACCTATCTGTTCACATCTCCCTCTGGAGGCCCCGTCCTTTCTCTGTCTATCCTGTTTTGCTGGCGGGCCAGGATACCCTCTCCTATCCCTATCTCTTTCCTTCTCTTCCCTGTGCTGACTCCACCTGCCTCCAAAGCTCTTCTTCCCAAGCCCTCTGCTCCAGGCCATGAGAAACTATCTTTGTCCACATGAGGGTTCCAAGTGTGCTGAAGAGGCTAATTGTGGGGAGGGGGAGTTGCTTCTGGAGAGGGAGAGGTTTGGTCCTACCTGGGCACATGGTCTGGCAGATGTTGGATCAGCTGGAAAGTGGCCAGGAGGGCAAAAGTCACACCCTGGAGGCTGCCAGGACAGAGGTCCAGGATGCCCGGTGGGAGCATGACCCCCTCAGGTCAGGGAGTATGGGTGCTTGCGGTAGTGGAAGGGATTTGCCTCACAGAGACCAGGCACTAGGGACCAAAGTTCAGCTAGCTATCTTAAATTTGAAATGGGCTGGTAGGGGTGGTATGATAGGGGTTGCAGCCCATACGGGCAGTACTGGGCATTCTTTACTTGACACAGAGTCACCGAGGTATTTCTATATATTTGGAGGATAAAGGGGGAGGGGACTGGAGTCCTAGCCTCAGGAAGGAGGACAGTTCTGTGCTGGGAGAGGGCCCCCTTGACCCACCATCACCATCTCTGCCTCTGATTCTTTCCCCTTTGCAGAACTTCTGTTCACGTCCTCCAGTCTAAGCTGCCCCTGGCTGCCACCTTCGCCATGTCTCTTTCTTCATCTAGCTCTGAAGTCAGTCTTTCAGACAGTAACAGTAGTTGGGAACTTTTAAGGTAGCTAGGTGGGGGTAAGGCATGGATCTTGGGGAAGCTGAATCTGAATGGTGCCTGGATGCCAGCTGCCTAATTGTTTGACATTGGGTAGAATGGAGTCTCTGCCTCTTTCTTTGTGAATCCATCAACCTCTGTTGCTCCTTATCCCAAGTCAGGCCTTTATGTCCTTCCCCATCAGGGCCCACAGCCTAAGTCTGTATGTATCACAGTGCTTGCTGATGATTTGTTCTCTCTTCCCTTTCTTTCCTCTTAGATCTCCAGAGGCATACCCTTTCTAATCTGCAGCCCAGCAGCTTTCAGCTCCAGGCCCAGAGCCCTATACTTTAAGGGCCCCAAGATGCTCCTGAGTGGGAGCATCTTGTAAGGACTTGTAAGAGCAGTAGGATGATGTCTTCTTTGCTCACCTTCCCCTCCAAGGTCCTGTTTCTGGGTCCCCTTCCCCTCCCCTCTTGATCTAGCTGGTGTTTGCCCTCCCTACTGAGGTTTGTCACTGCCTGTCCAGCCTTGCCCACAAGCAATAAAATGGTTTAATCCTGGGCTTCCCTGGTGGCGCAGTGCTTGAGAGTCCGCCTGCCGATGCAGGAGACGCGGGTTCGTGCCCCGTTTCGGGAGGATCCCACGTGCCGCGGAGCGGCTGGGCCCGTGAGCCATGGCCGCTGAGCCTGCGCGTCCGGAGCCTGTGCTCCGCAAATGGGAGAGGCCACAACAGTGAGAGGCCCGCATAACGCAAGAAAAAAAAAAAAAAAAAAAAAAAATGGTTTAATTCTGCCTGATGTGTTTTCTGTGAATCAGCACCCACATGGGATAGACTCAGCTGTACCTGTGACTTGACTGCTTCCTGTCACCTCTCTCTCTGAAATCCAAGTTCATAGACATTTATAACTGTATCTTCTGAGTGCAAGCCCTGTGCTCAGTGGACGTTGGAAGGAAGAGCTCCCATTCTGGTGGGTAGAATGAGGTAGGACAATGCTCTGGGGCAGTACTGCTATGGGGATGCAGAGGAGGGCAAGACATTCTGGTGGGCCTTTGACCTGGCAAATAGAAGGCTTCCTCTCCTTTTTTTTCAGCTTCTGCCTCTTGAGGCTCACTCTAGCCCCTCCATATTTCTTCATCCTCAGCAGTCCAGGCTGCATTTCTGCAGGAGTCTCCTCCTTAGTCTCTCTTCTTTCAGTCTCTACCTCTAGTCCAATGGTGTTCAGGGCTTTTTGACTGTGACCTCCAGTAAGAAATGCAGTTTACACTGTAGCATAGTAAATATAAATGTATGTATTTATTAACTGAAACAAATTTTATGATTCAATACTATTCTTTAAATTTTTTTTTTTTGATGGTGAGAAACAATGCTGTATTTTATTTTATTTATTTATTTATTTATTTATTTTTGCGGTACGCAGGCCTTTCACTGTTGTGGCCTCTCCCGTTGCGGAGCACAGTCTCCGGATGTGCAGGCTCAGCGGCCATGGCTCACGGGCCCAGCCACTCCGCGGCATGCGGGATCTTCCCAGACCGGGGCGCGAATCCGGGTCCCCTGCATCGGCAGGTGGACTCTCAACCACTGCGCCACCAGGGAAGTCCTTATTCAATACTATTCTTACTAAGAGTTATGCACTCTGATATTTCCTATTATATTTTAAAAAATGCTTTGTGGCTATTGGTTCTGATCCTTCCACCACTTGGTTGCTCTCTGGAAATATACCTTCCTGGGTAGACTTAGGGAAGCTTTACTTTTTCCTTACCTGGGCTTTGTATTCTAGACAGTACAGTCCAGGGTTTCCCTAGAAGTAGCAGCATCTCACTGAGGTCTCATTAGGTCTCTTCCAGTGCTAAATACAGCCCCCAAAATAATGTCATTTATCCACCAAGTGGATGTTTATTGAGCATAATACATACCAGTCCTGGTATATATTTGTCCTAAGC